AAGGTGTCCTTCTTTTCCAGAAATATACACCTGATAGCCCCATAAATCACCAAAACCTAACAAATCACCATAACAAAGAGCACGTCAATAACAAAATAACCTTGAGCTAACTTCTATAGAAGATAATGAAAATAAGGCATTTTTGATTAAGTTTGTTTTGTTTTGTCACATTATTACTTTGAGTGAAATAAATTTACTAATGGATAAGAGATGGTCAAGTTTTAAGAAGAGATAATTTTTCAGTCCTAATTCTAATCCGGTCTTGAGATAAATAACATTATACATGTCAGTTACACTGATTGTCTAATATAACATTTTCTCAAACAAGGCCATAATAAGTGAGTGACTACCAAAAAGAGCTTGAGGAAAAAACAAAAGGACACAACAGAAGTTAACTGATAATGCTTTAAACAAGGTATTAATGATAGGTACAGAGATAAAATATTTCATTTTCTTTTCTCATGACATGAGAAGACCACTCCAGAGGTATTACAAACGAAGCACACACATTTAACATCAGAGGTATTACAAAGGTATTACAAAGGAAGCACACACGTTTAACATCAGGACAAACTGAGTTGTAATGGCTGAACATTTAGTGACTTTCGATATGTACTGTGAACTTCCAATGGTGAAGTCTGCAACAAAATTGTAATATTTAGTTGTTTTCAGGGCTCTTTTCTATTGACAATCCGACTAGTGGTAGAGTGAGTTTCCCTTGGTGATCCATGAGCCACAAAAGTGTCTGTGATAGGCTCCTTTGACTGCAGTGAAAATGGTTGGTTATTTTTTCAAGTGTTGTTTTATGATGTCTTCATGTTATTGAGATATGATGAATTGCTGATTAAAGAAACTTGTCTCCAAACATTCACTTCTTTCTTGTATACAAACCATGTGAAAAAAATATGGATTAAGTTTTAATTTGGTGACTGAACGAGACATCAGAGAAACTGGATTGGGTTACAGTTACAGTGTACATGTATGTCCAAAAGGTTTGTCTTTGAGGTCTTCTATTGCTCTTTTTATCTCAGGGATTTTTCTCTGGTTCTTGCAAGTAGTATAGCTAATCTCAATGGTACAATAAATAACCCTTCATTTCTGGAGAAGTTGATTGTCCTATTTGCAAGCAATGGTTACACTCAGGTCTTGTTCCCTCATGAGGAGAGACAGACTATCTTGATGGCTGAAACTACAACAAAAAAAGTGCCATGCCTTTTTCTTCCCTCTACTTGCCAAGGAACTGGCCCAATCACAGCCTGTGACTGTGTGGAATCCAAGGAGTGTGCTGCATAACTTATCACCCAAGGCATGGGTATCATGCACTGGAATAAAACAGCATTTATCGTTCACTTTGGTGTGAAACCACAGTTCCGGCCAGTCCAAGCTTCTAAAAAATGAATGGTGGAAATAAAACATGCTGAATTATATCATTCAAGTCATGCCTTTTTTTTTTACTTTTGGCATTGCCTTGGAACTGGATTGGCAGTAACTCTGATTTGCACTTTTGAGGCCAATGGATGCTTTCCTTTGCTGAAACTCACCCCCTTTAATGGAATTCACTCAGCATTGCTCAAAGATCATGTGGACTTGCAGACAGTTGTTAGAAAAGAGCAGGGCACCGAAGATGTTGAAATCTTTTTCGGATAACTCACCAAAGGTATTTACTCCAGAAGATTTTGTCATCTGTAGGACTGCTATGCTGTGGATAATAACAACCTTTGGATTTGTTGATGCAGTAAGTTGTTGAAGATTTTGTCATCTGTAGGACTGCTATGCTGTGGATTTGTTGATGCAGTAAGTTGTTGAACTACTTTTACCCCTTTTCTGAGACTTCCATCATGGTTAGCGGGTGAATATGCAACTAAAGACAGTTCAAAGCTCAGCTAAGCCTGCCAAACAAGTCCCTGTTGGGGTTAACAGTAATTAGCTCATTAGCAGATTTGACTCCAATCTTCTTATTTACTTTGCTGGACATTTGGATCTTGATGTTTGGAATCGGTTCCCAGAAACCCACAGAACTAACATTGATTCACTTGTCAACAAGGTTATTCATCTGCTGCTGGCCTATCTAGGTACTGCAGATAAGGTTTTGGGCCACATCTTCTGGCAGAACAACTCCAGTGGTGATGAGAAGGAGTATGTGTAAATCAAAGGATCAGTCAAGAGACCTACAGAAAAGCAGCTCATCATCTTCTCAATGTCTCCCTCATGTTGGTTAATTCCTATCGGAACTGCTTCCTTTTGTGTTGTATGAGAACCATCTTGGAGCCCATACAGGACTTTTAAAGCAGAAGTAATAGATAAACAATCATTCAAGAGCTGATGGACTATGCAATATGGGGATCACTACTCCTTTTAACTTGGAGTCAGTGTTGATCAACAGTTCAAGGGCAATATCAGTGGAAACTTGTGAAAAGGGCTGTCCTGTACAATTTATGGAATGATTCCCTGCATTAAAATCATCATAGACATCTAGGTGTGTTAGTTCCAGTTGCTGCATGTTGGCGAGATAAACAGGTAAGTAGGGAATGTACTTCTGCCTGTCCCTGGCAATGAAGTAAGTTACCATTGCTGCAATGCTAAATAGGTGTAGCTTCCAGTTCCTAGTTCTTTCTACCTTAAGAAACCATAAAAGAGAAGTAACAATGGAACTGTACTCAACCCAGAAAGTGAAGAGCTTGGACCTTGCTTTATTCTCTGATTTGAATACCTTGAAAAGAGAGATCAAATCAGTCAAATCTGCTTTTATCATTCCCAAGCTATTGTGAGCATTCTGCTCCCCCTGTTCTCCACTGCTTGAATGCAATCTCCAATCTTAAGTAATATGGGTTCTCCTGGGATCTTCCTACCTGAGACATACACCAGACCACAAATGTATTCCACAGGAGATGCAAGAATACCTCTAGATGAAGCTTGAGTGATCTGAGAGCAGATGTTGAACCAGCAATGTATATGCCTGATTAAATCAATAGTACTTAAAGTCCAGAATCCACATACTTTTTCCCTAGCAGGGAGGGAAAATTGAAAGCAACATGAAATCTGCCCATTTTTACAGTAGCATTAGAACATTCTTCAGGAGTTCTCCACTGAATTTCCTTTGCCTTCTTAAATATCCCAAGGTTACAGGTTATAACAGTGTTACTTGTCCCATAGCAGCTCATATCTTCTGTGCATGTTTTAGCACTGTGTATGTTGTAATATAGTCATACTGTCCAATGATTCAGCGATCATTGGACAGTAGCCAATATTTCTGAATCTGGTCATTTCAGGGTAGAGAAATGCATTGAATCCTGCCCAGCTTGGAATCACTTGCTTGTTTACTTCTTCTGCCATGAATGCTGCTAGACTCTCTGTTCCACAATGAAACTATAAATACAGTATTTTCCTTTGATACATACAAAGGGTTTGAGATGGGAGAGAAGAAGTGTGAAAAAAAAACTGGCATTATGTCAACCAGGTGACAGAAATATAATAATAACAATAATTTATAAACTTAAATAGATCATGTTACATGAAGTTGCATGTGCTTTACTAAAAATATAAACCAAATATGATAATATTAGCAGATAAAAATTTGCTTAAAAACTAAAATCCATTAAAAATTACAAGGATAAAATAGTATAAAAAATAGGCCTACCAGTAAAATCATGTAAAAATTAAAGTGGCTTCAAAATTACAGGATATGATAAGAATAGAATACTATTTATAATCTACAGACATCAGGGGAACACTAATTCAAAATAATGGTCTTACACAGACACTTGAAATGTCAACAGCTGGGGCTTTTTAAATATATGTCAAAAGCGAGTTCCAATTTTTGGGGCAGCCATGCTAGAAGAGAGATTGCCAAGTGTAGCATTAGACCTGCATAATGGGTATCACCTTTTGTACACTGCATTCTTCAGCAGCTAGCCAAAACACAGAAGTTGTATGTCAAAGATACATCGACAGACAAACTTCATCAATTTGTAGAAAGGATGTAAGTCCTACAAAGTGCAGTTTTAATCTCTACCAATGCAACCAGCATATACACGAACATTCTGCAGGAGGCATAAGTACTAAAACATGGAACAACCTAGAACCACCTAAAAGCACCTACAACCACCTCAAAAATTTCAACAACCACCTACAACCACCTCAAAAACATCCACAGCCACTCACAAACTATCTAGTTTCAATTCCTACCTCCTACAGCATAAACATGGAACTACCTAAAACCACCTAGACCCACCTAAAATCACCTACAACCACCTATAACCACCTCAAAAATTTCAACAACCACCTACAACAATCTCAAAAACATCTACAGCCACTCACAAACTATCTAAAACCATCTAAAACAAAGCGTTAATGTCTAAAATAAGGCGAGATGACAACATGTCACATACATGAAATATGAGAATCAAACAAAACCTTCACCTCCCTCTGAAATCTTACTCTCCCTGGTCCTATGTATAATCAGCCATCTCGCGAAATGAAATGCAAGAGAATACCAATTCTATTTTATATTAACTCAAAAGTAAAAGACTTAAAGAACTATGCAAGCAGACATTTTGGCTCACATTTCATTTGATTACGTAATGATCCACAGTAGTGTTTTTCTCCTTTTATAATCTCAGCACTAGAAATGTAATTGGAGCAAAACATGAGTCACTATTGCATAAGTGGCACCACTCGTACAACCGCATGCTGTATGAATGCCAGCACAATGGTCTTTTGCTACTAAGGGAATATAAAATATAATAGGCATGCTCTTGCATTTCATTTCATGGGATGGTTGATTATACATGGGAACAGGGAGAGTAAGATATCAGGAGGTGGAGGTTTTGTTCAATTCTTGTATTTCATGTACATGACATTTTGTCATCTCACCTTATTTTAGACATTTATGCCTTGTTTTAGATGGTTTTAGATAGTTTGTGAGTGGCTGTAGATGTTTTTGAGGTTGTTGTAGGTGGTTGTTGAAATTTTTGAGGTGGTTATAGGTGGTTGTAGGTGGTAGGTGGTTTTAGGTGGGTCTAGGTGGTTTTAGGTAGTTCCATGTTTATGCTGTAGGAGGTAGGAATTGAAACTATATACAGATTTTACCAAGCCTTTAATTTTACATGGGAGAAGCCTCAATGTCAAAAACAAGCTATGAAGAGAACATCGGACACCCCAAGTCATGACTACATTAAAGAAGCTATTCAAATGATCTAGTTGAAAGAATCCTCACAGAGGTTGATTTCACTAAAAAAGGAAAACAACACTCCTGGAGGAAAACAAACCATAACTATATTGCTAACCACATTGCCTTTTGTAACACAAAATAACCAATCAGTGACCAGCGTTAAAAAGATTTTTATTGGGCAACTGGCAAATTATTGAGAAGCAGCCTAAACTTCAGGAGGTTTACAAAGGGCTTCCAACGCTTTCTATCAAAGGGGGAAAATCATTTATGGCTATTCCTCAGTATTTCACTGCACATCCCGTATTGCACATAAAAATCATGTAACCAAGCTAATAAGTGCCTGCATACAGAGATAACCGTATTGCTTTTCAATCAATGGACCAGGCCCCGTTATTCAAAGCAAATAACGCAACAAAAAACAGATAAATAGATAAATTGCTATTCAATGGATGGCATTACTAATAAAATAAGTAAAATATAAAATAAGTATGCTTTGTTAAGACTTATCTGCTGCGTTGCAATTTATCTGTTGGATAGTGTCGTTTACCCTTTGAAAAACTAGACCCAAATAATGAGGTTTAATGGTCTTCAGCTCTCGAATAAGCACCATGACCAATAGTTTTTAATGCATAATTCTTGTGCACAAATTGCCCCTTGTAAATTGGAGAAATGAAAAAAATTTATTGAAGGGAAAAAAATTTATAGCTAAAAGCATGCATGAAGCCTGTTACTTGAGGATACAAATTATGACCTTGAATGCAGTGACTCAAGGAACATTTTGAGTAAATGTTTTTTCACAAATTATATTTTGAATTGTTCCATATGCTTGAGACATTAACAATAATAATAATAATAATTATAATAATAATAATAATAATAAGAAGAAGCAGATGAATACAAACTGCCCTAAATGTCTAACAGTAATTCCAACTAAGATACATGTACATGTTGGCTGAAATTATTTCCTAAACATATCCAGATATTTTGCATATCAACTTCATTTGTCTGACATTTAAACAAAAGAACAAAACAAGCCTTAACCATCACATCCAATTCACAATAAGTTCGATCTGTTTACAACAATGGCAGTAGATGCAATGAACTGCCTCAAATGTCTCACGGCAATTCTTACTAAGAGACTCGTATTTGGTGGAAAAGAATGTACACGAACAGTGCATAAAATAATGTAAAGTCTATGGAAATACCAAATTCAAATCATAAGCAACTAACCTGTATTGGGTGCTGTCCAGTTAACTTGAATGATGGGTATTCCGTTATAAAGATGATAAGCGCCTTGAACATTCAATGATTTTCCTGGGAACGATAAGCAATTTGGGTGGGACTGCCTACTGAATGGCACACAAGATGTGACTGTCAAAGAGAAGGATCACACTGCAATCATATTTATCTTTGCAGTTTTCAAAGTATGTTTGCTTTAGTCTGTCTCATATTACAAATTTTCGGCAAAGAGTAATATGCCATAGAACTATTATGTTTGATATATTTCATGACAACTCCTAGTTCTGTGCTTAGAAATTAAGATTCAATACATCTTGACTATACTAAATCATATAAAGATGCAGTTTGCAACAACGCACAAGATTGGATACTTCATAATCTTAAAAATTCTCCTTCCTTATCAGTCTTGGAAATTTCTAAAATTTCTGCGTTTCCTGGTCAATTGTATCATCAGCAGTTGTATCTCAGCACATGTGCCTAAAGGAAGCTTGTAAAGTAGTAAATCTAGGGTTGCACTCAAAATGAATGTCCATGCTCCTTTAATCATAACCAAGTTCATAAAGTATGGAGCCTTTTTGTCTTGTTTTGCTTGTGCATGGTTAATACTATTGGCTGACAGTGACAAAGTTGTGCTCTTAAGTTTCATTTACAGCCCACTATGAACTCAAAACCCATGAAAATCTTGTGAAATAATTCATTGTAAATTCGCAGATTTTTCACAGGATTTTCATGGTTAAATCAATGACATTTTCATGGTCTCAGTGCCATGAAAAAGACCTGAAAAATCCCATGAAAAACCTGTGAAAATTTCCATATTCACGACCCATGAAATATTGAGTAAATTGACCTAGAAGCCATGAAATACCCATGAAAATGGGTATTTCATGGCCTTTTCAAAGGTACTGAGAAACCCATGAATTTCAAGCCCAAAATTTCATGGTGTCAAAGTTCACTAGTTTTTAATGGCTTGCAGCAAATCATGACCCATGAATATCCTGTGAATATGTAAAAAATTCATAGACCATGAAAATTTTCCTTGAATTTTCATGGCCTCTACATGGTTTTTTCATGGCACATGAAAGTTAATTGCCAGTTAGTTTTCATGGGGTTGTTAGGAATATGCAAGCACCATGAAAATTCTTTGGAAACCCTATGAATTTGGAATTAAAAATTCTTCACTTTTCTTGTACCAAAGACTGTACTACAGTGTATAGCTTGCAGCACTCCACAACTGTAATACATACACTATCACTTAAATTATACACTGAAGAACTAACCTATCTGTGAAACTTCTTGGTCCTGTTGTACAAGCACACACACATGAAAGACATGACCAGAAGTCTGGATTCTCTGATAGTTTATTTTGTTTCACCAGCTGTATATAAATATTACTTTAGGATTCCAAAATTGTGATAATTCAGTTTACACTTTCTTAAATAAAAAAAGATGGTATGAAATTTTCTGCATAAAATTAAGATGTTAATGATTTTTAGCTCTATTTTGATATCACTGATTTTCCTTGTGGAGACAGATTCTGCTCCTATATTTCTGTTTATTTAAACTATTTTGAAGGTATATTATAAATAAATTTGATGTGAAAAATATTTGGACGAAATTATTGAAAATATACTCACTGGTTTGATGTATTTTTGTCTAAACTTCAAATATCATTTCCTTCGTCTAAAATCATGTGTAAAATGTTATGGACAGTTATTATAATGTCTATTTATGTAACAGCATTCATGTAAATTTCTTGATATGTTTTACACTTGTGATCAATACTCTCAAGGTAACTAACAACAAAACAATTACCAACTTTCTGCACTCTTGCATGTGTGAAGATATATCTATGGCTGACTATGTCAGTGTCTCTCTGTTTTGGCCACCTGAATGTGCCATCCTTCTTTCGGTTATCATTAATATTTGCATCTTCATCATCATTTGGACCAAGATAGGCTGCTTTAGCAAGTTTGCATTTCCTTTCATCAGTTTTGTAGACCAACACTCTTCACTGTTTGCAAAATAAAGGGAGCACATCATCAGTTATCTAAGAGCCTTTCTTATGTACGTAGTAAACCTAGAAATGGATAACTCGCCAAAACAGGTTCTTTTCAACATGAAGCCGTCAGATATTAAGCGACGCACTGTGGAAGTGAGGTGAGGTATTTCGTATTCAGAATTTGACTGTATTTTTTATTCCTAAGAACGGTCGTAAGTATTTCCATACAAACTCTTGTGATGTTTCGCCAGATGATCACAGAATAAAAATTTCAAGTTAAATCAATAGTTAGCGTGCGCGCTCCGATGTTTACGCGTAATAAGATGACCAAGCTTGAACTTACCCCTTCACGTTGTAATGCATATCGATAACTTCATCTTGAGGAAACCTCTTTGAAAAAACTTTTCAGACGGTCCATTGCGTTGATCTGGAAAAAAAGAGACTGCTACACAAACACTACGAGAAATGCAATTGGAATGGAACCATTCCGTTCGAGGTACGAAAAAAACCGCCACTTCTTCGTAAATCACGTGTACTTTCACGTGGTGACCTTAGGTCATCGCAGCCATCATAGGTCAGCGGTCACATAGTGACCTCACAGGTTATCGTGTTCGACGTTACGAAATGACTCCGAAGAGGTTTCGTTGCTGCGTCTGTAATCTTACAAAATAAAGCAGCACAAAAAGCTGTTCGGTATTTGGAATTCGAAGCAAGTAACAACCGACAGGACATCTGAGTCCAAGAAAGTCAGAGCTGACATCGACAGTGATTCCTGTGAAAGCGATCACGAAATCAACAACGATGTTGTAGAAGGCGATCTCAATGAATACATGAAGGTAACGTTTCATCCCGACTGAGAAGATGGCCTGACTCTGTAAACCGGCGACTCTATGAACGAGGTAAAAATAGAATTTTTTTCAGGTTACATTTGCACACTATTCAAAGTTCCAAATTGAGGTGACAAAGTGATTGATTTGTCATTGTTTTGTTCCACATTTCGTGTAGATGCAATGCGTACCATTGCTGTACAACTTAAGCATCTGTACTCTGCAGGTGCCTTACTGGAAAAGCCCTAGAAGATTCCTCAGCCGTAAGAATGTAAGAGAAGGCCTTGAACAGGTTTCCAGAGTCATGGCTAACAATCAAAGCCAGCAGTGAGGCAGAAAAAATTCAACAAAGTCGTCCAGGCATGGCGAAGGCAAAAAGGCCCCAAAAAATCAAAGTGAGGATCAAACATCTGGGTCATTGCCTCCAGCCCCATTTGTCTCAACAAAGGAGCAAATTGAAGATCCATTGTTTTTAGTCATTATTTTGTGATTTCCTGTACATTTTACGTTAACACAGGCCACCTAAGATGTTGAGGGACATTTTCATATGACAGTTTTATTTCGTGCTGTACACCAAAATTCCATCACTCGATAAATTATAACAAGTCAGTTCCACAGGTCATAAAAGTCAGCTCGTTGATAAATCAGTGACTGTGATGAACTCATTAATACCACTTTTAATGGCCTATGGATTTATCAATGAAATTCATGGGCAACAGATTTCAGGAAATATTCATGGCCCATTAATTTTGTTCTCCCAAAACAAATAAATTGTTAGCCCATGAAATGCTGTTTGATTGCAATTCATGGGCATGAAATTCATTCTGATGACTTTCTGGGGAAACTAATGGGTCATGAAAGTAGACTTTGAAGAAATTCATGGGTCATGAAAGTAGGCATATAAAGAAATTCATGGGTCATGAAATTAATTCTGGTGACTTTCATGGCAAATCAATGGGTCATAAAAATTGACTTTGAAGAAATTCATGGGTCATGAAAAAAATTCCCCTAATTCATGGAAAATTCATGGCTAAAAATAACCCCATGAAATTTCATTTTGCAGTATTCATGGGCCATGAAATGATCTTCATGGGTTTTTCACACGAAATTCATGGAATTTTCATAAAACTACAGTTCATAGTGGCCACAATTTCAGGTACTATAAATTTCTTATTAATAACATTAAATAATGCAAATTCAAATAAAGTGAACACTTTTCTACAAAGTAATACAGATTTTCAAACTCAGTGTCAAAAATATATTTTTTGCTCAATCTTTCATTATTGCAGTCCATGGCCAATATCATTTTGTTACTTGTATTACGTATATTGATAAAAAATTAAAAATTTAATGATAAAACAATTTACAAAGTTTTGTAAATCACCTATCGTATTTACTTGCAAATAGGCTGCATTTTTTTAATTGAAAAAATGGGACAAAAGTTTAGGGTAAGTCCTATACAAGGGTACAAGCATATTTTGATAGCTCAAAGTTTCACCCTTCAAATTGTAGTGTTTGTGTTGCAACGTGATAATCTTTGTTTTTATAGTTTTCTACTATGATTATTTGATAATGAACCTCTACATCTCCGGCCCTAAAATATACTTTAAAATATATATTTGTGACTGCAGGTTTTCTTTTTCCTTTTTGTACTGAGTCAAATTTAAAGATATGCAGCAGTCAATTCCACCAATTTTAAAAGAAACACAACTATCCTCATCCATTGAAGTGTTCAAAACAAGGTTATACCAATATATCTAGCTGCTTATTTTGACATAGGAAAATTAAATAAAATCAATCAACCAATGACCTTCCAATGTTTCTATGGCTCCTGTTGCACACCAGATCGGAAACAATCAAAATTATTCAAAATAGTATTGGGTTTGTGCCTAAACTCCAACTTTCTTGTTCAGTTATGCTTAAGATAAACTGTAAATAAAAGTTTTGACATGAAAATTCCCATGTTTAAGGTGAGGAGCACTTAATACAACAAAAGTAAATCTGGAGATGTCTTCATTCTTACTTTGTGAAATTCTAGAAAGACACTTCAGGGCATAGTTCCATTACTTGTTTCCTTGTTACTCCTTTATTTATCACTGCATTAGCCCAATTAGTAACACTCCAATCATAGAGGGAAGCCCAAGTGAAGGTCAGTGCTATACCTCATGTTCATTTTACTCTATGCCAGCGTTTTAAATTTTATGACCTATCTTTGGTTTGAGTTTTGATTACATTTTACTAATTAATCTTTTCCACCAAAATTAATCCAATGTTAGAGGTGCAGCCGATATGCAGGTGTGGTCTATCCACAGTTAAATATACTATTTTGTGGATGATAATCGTATTTTCATTGATTATCATATGTATAAACTATACTTGCTATTGCAAATAATGTAAACAACAACACTTTGTTACCTATTTCATGAAACGGCCATCCACAGGGATCCAGAGAAGAATCTGCCACTAGAAAAAATTGATCATGGTTAGTTATGGAAAGCATTCAATTAGATATTTGGGACCTTTACTGTGGTCTAAGCCAACATCAAGCCAACCCAATTCAGACACACTTAAGTTGGCTCTATGAAGTCCATTAGAAAATTGAAATCTGAAGTCACTGGTTAGTAATGTTGTCAAATTGTGTTTTATGCAACTCTTAATTGTAATACATTTGGTAAATAGCTATCATTTATACAAATTTGAATAAAGTATGTTTTTGCATTTTTTTTTAAGATGCATCAGAGAGTTGGAAGACTGACAAAGGATACAACCTCAAAGGGTGCATCATCAAGAGGGCAAATACCTACATAATTATATAGAAAACTCATCCCACCACAATCTATGCTTATCATAGAAGCTATGCATCTTAAGCACCCACAATGCCAACTTGCTGAACAAGAAATCCAAACTGCTCAGCAAATGTTGCCATGAGAACAACTTCTTGCTTAACCAGCAACAGAAGTTGCAGTTCCAACTGTTATAGAATTAAAATTTTGAAACTTTACATTAGATTCTGTTTAAATTGGAATACTTCTGTCAATTGATTGCTTACTGCATTAAACTTGAGTTACAACTCTCCATTCTTAAAATGTATAGTTTTACAATATCATGACGAGCCCAAATAACAGTTGTGAAAGAACCTACACTTAATTACTGTGATTCCTCTAACAAAGAGAATATCAAAAATATTTGTCTACAGTTGGTTACCCCAAAAATATAACTCCATGCCATTTTACTACAAAAACAAACTGAAACTTTGTCGTATCTCCAATAGACCCTAACCAAAGATATTGCAATCTCGAATAAGTGAGGATCCATTGAACAAGAGAAAAGGATAATATTTCAAAGAGGGCTCCCTTATTGGTTGTTCCCTGTCTGGACTTTGCCCCCTGTGTGAAATAGGTGATAAAATGCAGGTTGCTTACAAGGAATTAACACAGGATGGGGTTCAGTCCAAGGTAGCTAAAAGTAAATTTTATTCAAAGAAAAAGTCAGAATGCAGGAAAATCTCTAGGAAAATTAAATATCAGTAACATTTAGTTCCACGTGTTTTTAACTTAAAAATGATAAAAAAAAATGTGAACTTATCAAATCCCGATAAATCTCAATATTATTCAATGAGGCTCCTGCAAAGGCCACAAACCATTACACTTCTCAAATGAGCCCAAAATTTCTGATTAATGTAATTTTTTGCACTCAGTCCTCTGATTCCATGAGATAATTTGCAAGAAAACCATACCCAAATGCACTGATTGGTGCAAGATATCCAAATGTTTTGATATGATTGGTGCAAGATACAAACCCTAAAGTGGCAATCTGATTGGTGTGAGCAACAACACCCTACACGTTAACATGGAGTGTTTTTTTTTTTCAGAAAAAAAAAACCAAAAATGATGGACATATGCCTCTTGTTTTATCATCAAAAAGATGGTGACAGAGCATTATAATTACAGAAAAAGGTAATATACAAATCATGTATAGTTTCAAAATTGCAACACTTTTGAGAGCTGGTGTATAATACTTATGAGTACATACATTACACAAAAGTACATTAATATCACCTTGGATGTTCAGCTGCCATAGCCTAAGAACTGTACCATTTACTACAAATGAATATATCCCTGAATCATGGACATCCACTTTCTTGATCTTCAACCAAAACTTCCTCTTATTCTTGTTGATTCCAAAAGATATCTTGTCTGTTCTTGAGATGAGGGAAGCATTTTTCTCCCAATGTGACCTCTTCAATGCATTGTCAAAGTCAAGAACCTTTGATTTATATTTCAATTTTGCTGACTCCCCAGTCACATAACTAACGTGGATAGACTTAGGGGGACTTTCCTGTAGAAAGAATGGAAAATGTAAATAGTAACTATTTGTGTCCATTTGACAGCCCATTTTATCATTATTTTCATAGTTTTACAATACATTTGAACCTCTATTAAGCAGTACTACATTTAATATTCACCTTGTAATAAGCAGTTGGTTTTCAAAGTGCCCAATTTCTTTCTATAAAGTGGCAACTTCTTTTAAGCAGGTTGTGGTCTCTCTTTGACTGAGTCCCAACCCCTTGTTTGAATTGAACATTCACTTAAAGTACGTAGAACCACTCAAATAAAACTAAAAATCATTTCTCAAGTAAAATTAATTTCATGTTTATCGCACAATATCAATGTTACATGTAGAACTTTGAGTTTGAATGTCTTCAATCCAGTGCTCATGGAATTACATAGTTTAATGGCCACCTGGCAATTTGGTGCCTATACAACAAAGTCAAAGACATGATTCATGAAAGCAGACTAAAGAAAACCAAAACAACAAACACAGATTTGAAATTATCTTTCTTCTTAGGACTATTAGGGCAAATATCATGTACAATCATAGTGCAAGTCATTTGCAAATTAATAACCTAGAGGCTCAAATGTTTGATAATAGTCCACCAACTACAGTAATTCTGGTTTAATAAATAAAAGATCAAGTACAGACAAAATGGTGTTTTTTAATGTGTTTGACCCCTATTCTCTGAAACTTGTATAAATCTGCCAACCTGCAGAGAGACCTTCAAAGTATAATAGGACACCAAAGTACTATCATAATGGTGAAATGTTCAAACCCCTCAATTTGGTAACTTACTGCTTCATCTTGGGCATAAATGACACATGTTACCCGAAATAAAAAATCTCTCAACAACCTACCAACTTTAGAATGGAAATCAAAATTAGCTAAATTTACTTCATTTTCTTTATTTAATGCGAAAACACATTAAAATGTACCTTCACACTAGACATTTTACAATATAAATGGTTATTGCAAAAGTGAAGACCCCTGAAAACAAAGACCTAAGACCCTAAAAAAGCAAGTTGGACACAGGAAGTGTGCATCCCGATAAAAAACAGCTAAAAGCTTGGCAACTTCTCTGCTCACAATGCGATCATTTATCAGTTAAAATAAAAGCAAAATTACCCTCCATTACATGAAATGCTAAACCACAGATCACTCTATTTCCTTTAACTTTCCTATTTGTTGCTTTCTTAATTTTTTTTGGGAAACTCTAGTGCCCCTCAAAATTTCTAACCACCACTCCTGATGTCCTTATTCTAAAAAGAGAAGAGAGCTTGCCAACATGAACTTTCGACCTGGCTGATACCAGTAGGTGTTACAGCATTGCTCTCAGCCCTTTAACAGTGGAAGATAATTTCACGGCTGTAGCTTTAATCGCCAAGCTTTTGAAACTTTATTTTTCATCACCTTCTGAGTATTAATTCTTCTCAGTTGCAAGAAGACTGGAGAACTTAAGCAGAGATGTGACTGAGATGCAGACAGCAACCAGAAGAAGAAAAAAATTACTATAGCGTGCTTAGACATCAGTGGATTGACTGAAAGGCCTGCACTTTGGCATTTTAAGCTAACTTGTACTGACCAGAGAGGTATATTGAGCATTGGGAAGAATTCGCATTTGATCATATCCTTTGTCATTATTGATAGACAAAATAAGGGTCTACATTTTTGGTCTTCATCTTATAGGTCTTATGTCTTTATTTTTAGGGGTCTTTGTTTTCGCTACAACCCAAAGTAAACAGAGCCTTAGGGTCTCAACAACAGGATAAATATTTTTTGCCCCTGCAGTATGTGGTCAAACAGTTCAATATTAGATTCATTAACAACTAAAAGAAAAATGCTCTGTAACAATAAAAGTGATATATGTGAAAACAACAGTGGCCTCTAAAGAGCCAGGATACAGTGAGAAATGTAGGTGGTAATTTGATGTGGAATAACATTTACAAGGTATCTACCAATTTTATTCGGTTACACTTTCACTGTTGCAATTTTCAACCATTCAATGCCAAGTGTAGAAAGGGCATCCAAGGTCCAAAACCTATACCCTTCTTAAGACACATAAGTCGATCAACATGTGGTGCTGACATGTCCATCATGTGGTTAAAGATATGGTAGACCTTCAAGGGCCAATTTTTCTGAAATTTTCTTTTTATAGCAAACTAAGCATTATCATTTTAACTATTATTTCCACAAAAAAAAAATTGGTAAAATATTAAACCACACACTAGTTATTTTTGAACTGAACTTTTTTGCCTGCCAAAGTGTCATGCTATGTCAACATAAATAACTCCTGAAGGGTTTCTTGCAGCAAAACGTGCTAATCCCTGAATTCCAAACATATAAACATCCCCAAGAAATTTTACACTGAATGGCAAAAGAATCTCACCAAACGGATAAAGGCCTGTGGTTTAGGCAATCTTTACTGCTCACTCTTGTTAAGCAACCACTTAGTTTTGCCACAACATGCTTTAGACGCTTTTCAGTTGAAAAAAAGAGTTGGAATCAAAATTGCAGTTCAGTTTAACTGTTAGATTGTAATACCTGCAAAGTATGTTTTTGCTGAGAGTCTTCTTTAGACTCTGCAGGACACTTCTGTGTTTCTATTGGCAGTCGGCATTTGGAGTTTTTTCAGAGGCAACATAACCTGACATCTTGTCGCCCAAAGGCATGAGTTGCTGAGAAAACTTTGGAAGAAAAAAAATCCCACTACACAAATAGACCCTCTTCAAACAAATTAAGAGGGTATATCAACTGTACAGATTGCTTGAAATTATGTTTGAAGACTCCCAAGATACCAACCTAAAAACTGTGTGGGAGAATTCAGTTTTTTAAAATGGATCTACCGCAATGACTTCCAATGTAATACACATCAGTAAAATTTTGATTAGCAAGCTTGACACATAAATTGCAAAGTGACCAATAAGAAAAAAAAATCCCCACAAAGTTTTGAAAACCAACCCCTCAGGATTGAAATTGTGCAGAAATTTTATTTGTGCGGTCAGATTCAACATGAGATTATTTTCCTCAAAGAAACATTGTCTATTTTGAATTTTCACACCCCATTCATTTTACAAATAGACCAAGCTAAAACAAAATTTTTTTGCAGAATGGTGCACTTCATAACCTTTCCATTAATATTAGTTTATGGTGGCTATACTTCAAATAGCACATTAAAAATTTTTTACCAAGGACACCTGCGAAGGTCTACACTATACCTTAATACACAGAGAAAATAGAATGCTCAAAGTAGTCTAGGCTTTGGGTGTTGTAAGTTCCATAAATGGTCTTGAAAGTCTGCTCTGTCCCTCCATTTTTTCTTGAGTGTATTTAGTATGTAAACTTGTTATGACAAGAAATAGGTGTTGAAAAAACCTGTACCCCCTCTTCTGGACCCCTTTCCGGATACCCCTATGGACACCCATATATATGGACTCCAAAAGTTCATCTCCTTTGCTTCCAATTATAAATGAATCAAATGTAATCAAATGCCATTTTATGAACAAAATGATTTTATCTCCATTAAAACACAGCAAAATTTTCTTGTCTGACCAATTACTGGACCACATCAAATTTAGAAAGATATAAGTAAGGCAGTTAAAAGAGAGAAAAGTCAATCAGATGAACATTCAATTAAGTTTGCCATAATGAAGAATGTTAAAGAACTGTTTCATTCAGTCATGTTTAACTTATCAAAAGTAATAAGATATCCCATTTGAAATTCTGCCTCCACGCTCAACAGTATCCATGTTTTTTTTTTTTTTTTTTAACCAAATATCAAGTTTTAACATGTTTTTAAGCCAACAACAGCCTCTACTACAACATGACCTCTGATAATACTATTTTTAGGTCGTGCACCAACTCAATTATGGTTCATTAAAGTGTTCTCAATGTGATCCCCCAGAATTCCCCTAAAAAAGGCCTTGTTAATCCCAAGAACCCCCCACATTTTATGCCTCATTTACAATTTTATACTCAATTCTGAGGGAAATTGTGGTTTTTCACGAGAAAAGATTAAATCAAGTCCATCTCCAGGTTATATCTTGAAAGAGGAAAGTGAGAGGCTAAACAGAGTTCTAAAATAAGACATACCTCTTTCAGATTTGAGGTAGTTTTCTATCAGAATGGAAATGGCTGCACAGAGATAAGAGATTTCTCTTCAAGTCTTGATACCCAACGAGTGCAACATGAGAGGAGAAGTTTCATACAAGCAGACATGTAATATTCTATTTATTATTTAATTAGCAATGAAAAAGCAAACCCTTTCACTCTTGCTACAAAAGGTGCAATTTATTATGTAATCATAGTACTGGCAATATTTTAAAGTGTGGAGATAACATGTTATTTTCACATGTGAAGAAATAACATTTTCGTGTTAAAGCTAACCTGGTATTTCATTGGTGTTTAATATAATAAACAGATTTACTTTAGGAAGTTCTTCTGGAATGATTCATAGCGCATGTCTCCTTAGTGAGGATGCATGTACACAAGAAAGAAATATTTCCAATGGATTCATAAGAAAAAATATCTCTGACAGAAACCTCTGCTTATATTAATGGAGAATTCACAGCAAGAAGCTTGAATTCACATGATGGTCGAGACTGCTCTGTAAATGGCCGTTGTCCAATCGTTTATCGAAATTGTATTTTAATTCTATTCTGTCTCTTGAATAGGTAAAATCATGTGTTGATGAATTTGAAATAATCAGAGAGGTAGAATCTGAATTCTACCCATGCCACGATACCTTACATCTACATATCAAAGCGGAAAAACCAACATCAACAGAGCATTCGAAGTTGGACTACCAATACAACAATGTCAGTAGTCACTTATTCATAGGTTCGTATACAAGATAGAAAAATGTACAAGCTAGCCATGCAATCAGTGGAACATTAAGTGGACGGAATGTGAGTGGTCACCCTGTCCATAGCCCATGTGGAAACTCTCAAATACAATGACTTTAACCTTGGAACACAACTAATCTTGAGTTGAACACCTCAACACGCCAGTATAATTGGGTGAGGATATGCAAATTTAAGAACTGACGAATCTTGATCGATATCAGCTTCGCTTGTCAAAAAATACTAACCACAAAAATAATTCTCAATATTATTAAGGCTTAGTTTGTAGGCAAAAAAAATAGTTCCGCGGTACTATAACAGACGAAGTTTCATTGTATGACAGAAATGAGAAATCGTCAAGGCTACGAAAAAACTGTAAACTTAATTTAATGAACGTGTTGTATGATATTGTGAGTTTATTGATGAGATACTACCTGCTTCTTGAGTTTTGTAAATGCGTATCAACAGAGTAAAGCCACAAAGAAAACTAACAGAACCAAAGAAATAAATCAGAAATTATGAAATACAGCTGTTACAAGCACAGCACTGATGCTGGAATAGAGAAGCAGTCACTATTAAGGGAAATAATTCGCCTCGCATGCATATGTAGTAAGATTACTCACCACGTTGCGCCGTATCCTCTTAGCCTCGAAACTAAATACTGTCCATTCCACAGTTATGATCAACAAAACGAAGACCTTAGGAGTTATAAAACGATGCACTATAGCAAGGGCCATCGCTGTTTGACGACGATATGGCTTTCGAGCTTACAAAGTCTGTGACGACAGACTTTCATTACAATCGCCCAAACTTCGTCCACCGAGCTAATATACACGTAGAAGTTGTGGGCGGTACAGGAAGTTGAGACATAGGCATGCTCTGAAACATTGTAAGTGATGTCTACACTTTTACAAAAGGAAAGAAGTGCATTAACGCGGAAAAGAACGAAAATGTCGAATTAAATCACACACTAGTATTTTGTGGTAGATTGTGTGTGTTGTGCGAATAACTGTAACCAAAAATAAACTATATTGGTGCCACGGATACCTGTTGGTACAAAATGCAGACTGCAGACCGGATACAAAATGTAGACTAGGTACAAATTGTAGCCTGCAGACTGCAGAGTGGGCACAAAATGCAGACTGAGGATCTAAAGAATTTTTTCGTCTGGTGTGTGATAACATGTCATCTTACAACTTACCAAGCGTCACGCAATCGCTTTTTCGCGATCAGCTTTCACGATTACTTGCACTATTGTGGTATATTCCTGGCCCGTTTCTTGATCAAAATCGATCTTAATATTATTTCAAGCCTTCGTATAGTCTTTGCGCGCGAGTTGGTTGGTGTGATGTCTGTACAAATTATACCAACGCAATAAAAGTAGCTGTAGATCTAAATGAGATGACACCATTGACACGCGCAACATTAAAAAAAAAATTGACAGCTTTGCACGTGGTCCGTAATATCATCTTTTGCAGCGGTTTATGTTTATTTTGTGGACAAAAATGCGGACCGAGACCAAAACTGTTTCTTCGACTTGACATATTTTCGACGTTAGTAGATCACATCATATTAACTCACCTCCGTAAATCATTCATTCCAGATAACAAAATCAAATAATCATGCTAACGATGGTATCTGAATTCGTCCTCGGCCAAACACAAACGACTCCACGAGATCACTTTTCCGGGCATCGAAAACATACAGCAAATCGTCCACTGAGCACTGAGCACTGAGCACTGAGCACTAAGCACTGAGCAAACCAATCCAGAAAAATGTAATCGGCACACTCAACAAATCATAAATCTTGCAACACAGCTTGCCGTTAAAGAACTGCTCCAATCAAAATGTTTGGTGCAATTCATCAACACCTCAAGCAATATTTGATTCAAAATTTTTTCACTCACTCTCGTCGTGAAGGAACAATAACCATGATCGTGCTACAGTGCACAGTGTCTCTCAAACAACTATCCACCACTTTAGGCGTCCAACCTAAAGCCTTGCTTATTTCCTGCAGGAAGAAATTTCTTGTGAGTGGATGATAAAATGATGAGTCAAGTATTAAAACACTGCCAAGAAGGGTAGGAGAAGTAACTCTCTTCACGTAAACGAATATTAATCAATCATACATTGTCACATTCAAGATTTATCACTTAGCGTTACCGAGTGCTGGGCTGCGTTGTTCTCCCCCAGTTTTCGAAATAAGGAAAAAGTTTACCACACCCCTTCCCCATCCCCCCTCCGCTGCAGACATCCCATCAGAACACGAGATACACAATAGCCCCGTACCCCTTCCCCCGGTAAGGTGAGACAGAGGAAAGGGAACATCTTAGCAAACCTGACACCAATCGTGTTCCCTGACGTCACTCTTTTTGCAAGAAAATATATAATGACTTTTTGTTGGTTTACCTCTTTTGTCGATTCTTAACGAGTATTCTTTTTACATTAAGTTTTTCATTTTACTTTTGGCTCAGGCTGTCAAACGCACATGGTTATGTTTATATATGTAATAAATGAGATCCTCCCTCGTTTATTTTCGTTGTAATTTGCTCTTATAAGATAATTATCTCTTCCAGGTCGCGCGTCACGTTTATCACGTTGGTGTTTGGACGTCGGAATCTCAAGTTTTTGACGCTAAAAACGGGCCATTCCGTTGAGGTAAGTTAAAGATATTTAGTACTTATTACAGTTGCTAGTTTTTGAGCTTTCTGTGTACGAGAAAAAAAGTGGAAGACCGGAAACCTAATTGTTCTTGCAAAGATAAATAATGTAGCATTGCATGGCCGCTTCTTTCACACGTAAAGTAAGTGGCATAGCGAACTGCATATATGTGTGAGACGCATTCACGTAGAAATTTTAAGCTTCTTTAAGTCTTTAGCGAGACCCTTAGACACTTATACCCCACGCGGCCACGTTCTGAATGTTCAATTTCAGTTTGAACTGTATTTCTGTTCGCTATAATTAAGATTTCCATGCACTAATAGAATGTGCACAACATTTGTAATTAGAGTATTTGTCCTTACTTATTAGCTGAGGGACTTGTAAGCTATATGTATGCAGTATTTGTGGACACTTTGACAATAACGACCAATAACTGGGCTCTTCAGGAATATAAAAAATCGTTCATTTCTCTTGAATAATCAAAGTTGAAATTATTGGCTTTGATTGTAAACCTACTTTAGGCCCATCTCAGTGTGCTACTGCTGTGTTGAACTAATTTAAAGTTGGTTGGACATTTTGACTGATATTATTTAGATAGCAAGAAGATCATATGAATTAATATCAACAAGGTGGCCAAACCGATCTATACTCACTCCTAAAGAAAGAATCGAGAAATTTCAACAAGGTGGCCAAACCCAAAAAAAAAGGTTCATTGCACTTGCATTTTTTTCACGCTCATTCAGACAACCTGTGTCGGTGAAACAAAACACTTTGGATTTTTACCAAGGAGTAACATGTTTTCAATCTGATAACAATTTCAACCTTCCACTTCTACCATCCGACACTGCACCCCAAATGTCAAATATAAAATCAACTGGGAACTGGAAATCTGCAAATTCTTCATCTAGCAACAGCCATAGCAAAATCACTTGGATTGGAGACTGTCTTACTCTTCAGTAACTACCAGTGTCTGGGCTGTCTAGGCCATACCTTCTTGCAAGATCCAAAAAATTGATCCAGGAAATAATTTATGGTATGCTAATAAGCAATCTTAAAGTTTTTTAATTTTTTAAGAATCAGTGCATCGTTACCAGACTTGCATATTTTTGGCAAGGCTACCTACAACTCCCATGTACTTGTATGTGTATTTACATTGTATTATTGCATTCATGGTAGATGTAAGGAACTTTGAATACTGTTAGTGTTATACACAAGTAACCTCACCTTGTCTCCTTCTTTCATATTTGTTACTTCTTTCAGGAGGTTTTCTTTGTCAAAGTTGACTTGATGTGGCGGTGGAGAATGGCGTTTTTTCTTCCTAACTCCAAGATCCTCCGGTCTCTTCCGTTTTCCAACCCTTACGGCTGCTTCCTCCACTGTCTCAAAGTACACAGTGGTCCTTTGTTTTGCCTGCTGACTGTAAGACTGCCTCGTGCTCAGCATTGTATGGCGTCACGTTTGGACCATTCCTCTTACACTTTGCGCTTCTCTTGACGTGCTCACTGTCAACGTCCGCGTTTCTTTGGTATTTTGCTTTTCTTTTGCTGTAACTCGAGCTCGGATACTTAAGTTTGAGCTTCAGCAAAGCTAACGTTAAAGGTTTTCTGAAAGTGCCCATTTATTTTTAAATAAATGTGCTTTACAGCTGTTTTGATTGCTTTTTGGGTGGGCTTTACTTTATTGTTTCCCACGTTCTCATTTTCTACAAGGGCTTCTTGAACTAGCTTTTGAGGCTTGAACCTGACAGTGTTCGGAAAGAGGGATTGGAAGGCGAAGTGAAGTACTTGGCAGGCATGACAGTGCGACATAATGTGTTCTGACTTCCGAGAATCGGGTAAACCATTCAAGTTTGCAAGCGAAAAGTACTTGAAGTATTCAGTTCGGCTTCGAGAGTTCATTTTACGAAATGAATGATAAATAATTCTTGCCTTTTTCATGTATGTGGACTTATCAACGGCGAAAGTTGACTGCGCTGATCCACCTAACGTTTCTCGGTAGTGTCTCCATCGCTGAACGGGATCAGCCTCCTTCGTCGTCGTTCCAGGTTTATGGAAACTTTCTTTAGCGGCAACCCTTGAAAACCCACAATTAAATATAAGAGACATAATCCTTTCTCATTTGTATCGAACAATTCACCTTTTGGGCTTTAGAGTTCACGTGTAGTGTCACGTGACTTCTGATGTAAACAAACCCTGAAAGTTCGGACATCATTGAGTCGAGCTCGCAGTACATGTGTCCAAATTTCGGTTTTGGAAATTTCTCTTAAATAACTTTCCACTTTCAAGAAACGTTTCTTCGCTCAAAATTAGCATCTTTCTTTTGTCATTTATTTGATCGTGTGTCAAGCAAGTTGTAGAATGTTACAGGAAGCTTTGCGGCATGGAATAATCGAACTAGTTCTGCGTACAGTAATGTATCTGGTCAGGTATTTTCAGGGTGTTTGGTACGTAGATTGTCAAATAAATCCCCCTCTGAAAAGAGATTACTGCCCACGAACTGCTGTAGAACGTGAGGAAGCCTTAATTCCCGAAAATAACACCGATTTCAACTCTATGAACGTGTACGATTGAAGTCATGAGAAGACACAAGTGCTTTGCACTGTAAGTATTAAGCCCGCTGGGCTCGTCTTTTTCAGGTGTGATAATCCCGAAGTTAATTTGATTTAATCTCATTAAATATGTCATGGGCCGACTAACTTAAATTATCAACACTCTCGAGTTAGCAGCTGGATAATGTTACTATGTCGATATTCGAATGTCATGGTTTTTGCCCGCCTATCTTTTCTTTGCAGTTTCGTATTTCAAACGCGTGATCCAGTAGCAGTAGAGATGGCACCTAGGAAGGGTTTCTCGCCCTTCACTCCGGTCATCAGCCCTGAATTAAGTCCACAATCGACTTAGTTCATTCTAAGTTCGAAAGTTTGTGGATCAACGCCGACGCAATACTTTAAGCTGTCGCCTGTTGTCGCCAGTTTTCCAAGCGATTTTCAAAGAATCGACAGTGCCCACATTCGGCTGCTAGATGGCCACCATTACTCGAACAAGAAGTCCTCTAATGCAACGGAAATTGTCTGTTCCTCGTTTGGGTTGATAACCACTCTGCTTCGCCGTTCCTCTTCAGAAAGCTCTGAGTTCATTTCGCAGCTGAGAGATTTGCTGAACTCAGTATATCTCAGTAAAATGTCTATCGACGAAGAAAATGAAGGCCAAGCAAACAAAGAACGACCACGTGCTTCACGATGCTTGGAAATGCCAACGACACCAACGAACAAGACATCATCTGTGGCCATGACACCCCCAAACAGTGGAAACTCGCAAAGAGCTGAAAAAAAGAATGTTTCCCCAAATCTAAAGGAGATCAGCGAAAAGGAAGATTTGGATACTCCAGAAAAGGTGCTGTTGATGAAGCAGCGAAGCAGTCGCGTCATCAAGGACGTGCATAACGTGTGCGAAAGAAACAGGGAAAGTTTGACGATGGTGCTTTCGAACATGTGCGCATTTGGCGACCCAGAAGCGAAGGCCATCGTCAATGAAATTGTCGAAGAGATGGCTGTAAAAATGGGAGTAAAGAGGAGTGTGGAAGAGCTAGTTGGCGACGACACAATGTCGAAGTACGTGGCGTGCCTGAGAGTTCCTGATTGGAAGCTTGTCCTTTTCCAGGCGATGGCGAGAGTTTCTTCGAAAACGTGGCAATCCGTGATAAACATCACAGGGCTCAGAAGGACGGGGGTAAGATGTTTAGTTACGTTGGTCTTACGTCGGTATATTAATATTCATACTTGGCGCCCCGGCTAAGGGAATAAAAGAACAAAAAAAGAACTATTCCATCGCGAGCCTCAATGTTTATAGCAGCTCTTTCTTTTGTTTTATTCAGTTATTCTCGTAAGCGAAGCCTTGTACAGGAAAAGACAAGCAGGCTTTTTTTTTATTACTTAAGCAGGCGTTTTACTCAACTGCGTCTTCAAAATTACCCTAGGTCTGTTTTCCAGAGCAATTTCAGCCAGTGGTAAGCTCTTTTTCAGCTGGTGAAATATGCTGGAAGCCGTATGATAATCATCCACATATTTTTTTTTTGTGTGTGTGTGTTGTACTTCCAAATAAAAATAACTATAACTGTTAAATTTTTTTGGCCTTGCAAGCAGTTCTTTGTATGGAAGGTGGTCATTATAATAATGTGTAAGGTGAAATGGGTTGGTGAAGGGTGCAGTTTTTGTCTTGACTAATTTAGTGTAAAAAATTGTTTTGCAGGTAGAGCTCATATGTTGTTTGGAATTGTTCCCCGTGATGGTGCTGTATATAGCCAGCAAAGTGCAAAATCAGTCTACACATTGACAATTGCCAACTGTAAAGAAGACAGGTTTGTGAATTGCAACTTGCTTGAACTCTTTACTACCTTCTGGCTAGAATATGCTTGTGGTTGTCTGTGCATTTAACTTAAATAACACAATGACAGATTTTTGTAAGCCCCACTCAGTTGCAATATCACCAGGTCATGCATCCATTCTGAGATCTAAGTGGATTGATATCAATATCCCTAATTTGGCTTTAATGCACTAAATATAATAATGACTGTATAGATTTTTGGTTTTTGTTTGTTGACAGAGACAACCTCAAGATTCTTTTTGAGGACATCAACCACCAGAAGAAAATATTAAAGGAAAAAGGAATGACAGTTGATGGTAGACATTACACCGTTGAATTTCTGGGTAAGAATCAATGTTAGTCTTGGAATTTGCTTTAAAAGTCAACTTCTTGTTCATGATACTATTTATAGCAATTTATTGTGTTTCTACCCAGTTGGTAGTCTGACTAGAACTAGATTGAAGCAGTAGTCAAACTATAGTAAATTAAGAGTTTTTTATATTGTAAAACATGTCCAAGGTTTAACTGCAACAGCAAGAAATAAAACCTGGAATTTATTACTATTTTACGTCAGAAATTGATTTGACTACCTTTTTCTTTAGATACATTAGAGATTAATTTCCTGGAAAGTTTAGCATGTTAACTTTTGCTTTCCCATTTCTGTTATCAAACTTAGTTGTACTGGACTACAAGACCTTGGTACTTCTTTTGGTGAAGAAGATGAATGCTTCATTCATGTTAGGTGGTAGAGGTGTCAGTGTTGAGTTCTGTTTCATCTGCAATGCTATCAGGGTAAAGTACTCAAATGATATAGAAATTAGTATGGGGCAACTGCAACTTGTGCTGTTAAAGTTGAGGTACATAAAAGTGCTGCATCAGTTCATCAACTTTTTTTACAGTGATTTCAGATGACTTTGATCTTTACCAATATTTGGGAAAATAATTAGTGAGTGATAGAAACATCAAGTAGCTTTAATTCAGTCAAAAAAAGTTGTAAAGTACTTCTCTAAAGGTCATTCTGCTTTTAGAACATTTAAAAATCACTGAAAGTATGAATACATGTACTGTAAAAAGAACAGGGCTCACACAGAGTCATAAATTCTTGGAAAAGTCTTGATTTTCCAGACCTGGAAAGAGTCTTGAAATTGAAGATAATGTCTAGAAAAATAGTTCAAGTCTGGAGTTTTTTTTATAGCTACAAAAAGTGCTTAATAAGTTCATTTTTTTCCCCTGTGGTCAATTCAATCTCGCCTGTAGCTAAGACATTCAATCACAGAATGAGAAGTTTCACAATTGCACCATGGTTATTGTACATTTGCAGTGCATCATGAAAGAAGCTTGGTTTCTGCATTTTTCAAGATCTCTATTGATCACCTATTTGACCATCTTCAGTCTGGAAAAATAAATTGATGTTTTGGAAAAAAGGTCTGGGAAAAGTCTTGAATTTTGGATCCAAAAATCTGCATGAACTCTGAAGAAGATAATCGGAAGCATGATAAATGTGTAGTTCTATCTGAAATTATAATATTATAAATTATTTGATAGTGTGCCTGTTTTTGTCAGGGTTGCAAATGCCATGATGTTGCTCCAGATGAGACATGCCTGGATTGCCTCAGAAGCAAATGCAACATGGGAAGGTGTGTAGGCATTTGATCATTGTCATATTAAATTACATTCAAACACATAAAGGGGATTTTCTTACTGTTACATAACAAAATGAATTTTGTAAGCCACGGGGAAATGACTTGTACTAAAGCATGAACTGAAATTAAGTGTGTAGTGTGGGGTTTTTTTTTTAAATTGTTGCTAGTAAACTAAAATCCTCATTCAGGATCTTTTGCCAAACTTGGAAGGTTGCCAAAAATTGTTTTCATACTGTCAGGAAAGGAGTACTCATAGTTTGGTAATTGAAAAAGAAAAAGAAAAACATTTTTAGAGAAAAACATGAAATAATTCATTGCTTCAGAAAATCAATCATTCTTTGAAATTGTCTTGTAGATCAACTGGTATACGAGATGATCTGGTTTTTCTTTTGGACGAAGAGCTTTGCAACATTCAACTTTGTGCTCTCCATATGGAGATGCGCAACACTGAACAGTTGTTGGCATCCATTGGTCTTCTTGCATACAGGGTAGATTCCCTAGCAGAGGCCAATGCTGCCTTGAAAAACTATGGCCCAGAGTCATTTCATGGCGATCGCATCTCAGTAAAGAAGAAGTCAGATCAACAGTCTGCTATTACAAAGCAGAATATCCATGTCAGTTCAATGTCTGGTAAGACATTTCCTAAAATAATGTTTTCAAGAGATGTTTTCCATAGGTCTTAGGTAAAATCTTTTTTTTTTCTTTTTTAATTTACTCTCATGCTCTTGTGTTTCAGGTCCAACAGATCGGGAAATCCTTCAACACCTTGAAGAAATTGTAGAACTTGCCCTACCACTGGATAAATTCAAGAAGCCGTATGAAGATGTGAACACGGCAAAAAATTTGATCCTTAACAGAGTTACATTTTACCAGGCTCGTGTTGATGTTAGTAAGAAGCAACTATTATTTTTATACTTGCAACTTGATTTAACATCATGTAGTCAAGATCATTGGTAATGTGTATTCATTGAGTTCATACAGCGTCCAGACGATCCGTCGGAGTGCGCTTTAGGAATCAAATACCTCTGTGAGTATTTCTTTAATTGCTACAGTCTCCTATGTAATTTGCCCATCTTATGACTAATTCCATCACACAGCAGCTTGAAATTAATGGAGCTCCATTAACTGAAAGCTACTGCATGTAGGAATATAGGTGAGCTCAGGATTGAAGTGTGAACCATTGTTTAATTTTAGCATGTCTGATTCTGTTTTTTAACACACCTTAAAGTGTAGAGTAACACAGAATTTTCTATAGTTAGAGATCCATAGGTGCAGTGTAACCCAGTGTTTAATTTAGTTCAAGGTAACTAGCATAGGCTGCACTTTAGGTGGTACACCCATGGGTGCAGTGTAACCCAGTGTTTAATTTAGTTAAAGGTAACTAACATAGGCTGCACGTTAGGTGGCACACCCATAGGTGCAGTGTAACCCAGTGTTTTCTTTAGTAAACAGTAACTAACATGGGTGCAGTGTAACCTAGTGTTTTATTTAGTTAAAGGTAATTAACATAGGCTGCACTTTAGGTGGCACACCCATGGGTGCAGTGTAACCCAGTGTTTTCTTTAGTAAACGGTAATTAACATAGGCTGCACTTTAGGTGGCACACCCATGGGTGTAGTGTAGCCCAGTGTTGTATTTAGTAAAGGTAACTAACATAGGCTGCATTTTAGGTGGCACACCCATGGGTGCAGTGTAACCCAGTGTTTTATTTAGTTCAAGGTCACTACTGTAGGCTGCACTTTAGGTGGCACACCCATAGGTGCAGTGTAACCCAGTGTTTTCTTTAGTAAACAGTAACTAACATAGGCTGCACTTTAGGTGGCACACCCATTGGTGCAGTGTAACCTAGTGTTTTATTTAGTTAAAGGTAATTAACATAGGCTGCACTTTAGGTGGCACACCCATGGGTGCAGTGTAAACCAGTGTCTTATTTAGTTAAAGGTAACTAACATAGGCTGCACTTTAGGTGGCACAACCATGGGTGCAGTGTAACCCATTGTTTTCTTTAGTTAAAGGAAACTTACTTTGGCTGCATTTAGGTGGTACACCCATAGGTGCAGTGTAACCCAGTGTTTTCTTTAGTTCAAGGTAACTAACATAGGCTGCATTTTAGGTGGCACACCCATGGGTGCAGTGTAACCCAGTGTTTTATTTAGTTAAAGGTAACTACTGTAGGCTGCACTTTGGGTGGCACACCCATAGGTGCAGTGTAACCCAGTGTTTTCTTTAGTAAACGGTAACTAACATAGGCTGCACTTTTGGTGGCACATCCATGGGTGCAGTGTAACCTAGTGTTTTATTTAGTTAAAGGTAATTAACATAGGCTGCACTTTAGGTGGCACACCCATAGGTGCAGTGTAACCCAGTGTTTTCTTTAGTAAACGGTAACTAACATAGGCTGCACTTTAGGTGGCGCACCCATGGGTGCAGTATAACCTAATGTTTTATTTAGTTAAAGGTAATTAACATAGGCTGCACATTAGGTGGCATACCCATGGGTGCAGTGTAGCCCAGTGTTGTATTTAGTAAAGGTAACTTTTTGGCTGCACTTTAGGTGGCACACCCATGGGTGCTGTGTAACCCAGTGTCTTATTTAGTTAAAGGTAATTAACATAGGCTGCACTTTAGGTGGCACATCCATGGGTGTAGTGTAACCTAGTGTTGCTAATGAGTGACTGTAACCCAGTTCAGTTTTTTCTAGAAAGTGCTGTCCTTTAAGTAGCATAAAGACATGCAGACATTCTTTTTAAGACAATGAAATTGGTGTGAGGGAACATTTCTTCAAGTAGTACGGTAGCACAATGTTAT